AACTCACAGAGGGAGCATGATCTATTGTTTGCTAAAGAGCTTGGGGTTGGTGAGAGTACTTACTTTTGTGGTTTGGCCTGCATGTGGCTGAGTGAGGTTACTACTTGGTCCGAGTTTCAGGTTGACAGGTAGTTGCTTTAGAGGCTCGCCACGTGCTAGGGCGATAGGAGTCAGTTCAATTCCTGCATTTTCTTAGTTAAGTTTTTCTTAGATCAATTCCTGCATTTTTTTAGACCCTCTGTTATACTTGGGCTTGTATAAATTTTGGTAAGCTACTTTCTCTACGGGAAGCGCTGCCGAAATTTCTGCAAATCCGAGGGGTTAGTCAAATTTCTGACTTTTCAAAGTTCAAACTGTCTAAGGTTCATATATGACTTAGTACAAATTTGGGAAGTCTCCTTTTCTAAAGGGAGTGCTGCCCAAATTTGTACTAGTTTAGGGAGTTAGACAAAATTGGACTTTGAGAAGTCTAAGACTATCTCTGTGTTCATATTCGGGCTGATATAAATTTTGAAAAGGCACTTTTCCTACGGGAAGCGCTGCCGAAATTTTCTCAGTTTTAAAGGAGATCGATTATGCTTTGACAGGTGGCGATTTTGGCGATCCACGCTGTATAGGGGACACTCTGCCAAGGTCTACCTTTGCTTTGGGCACTGCTTAAGGGTAGAGTTAGGCTTAGTTAGTTAGGCAGATTTTTGGAGTAAGATCGTGATTATCCTCCAAGGACTTATAGGTTTAGCTTGGGGATTGGCCTGTCATGTGTTACAGGTCCTCTTGATCGGTTGATTCAGAATCTGGACTAGACTCAGTTTGATCCTACGAGGATCACCTTCTGTTATCACTGATAACAGGTCGGTTGCCGATTTGTGGGTTTACGACTCGATTCCAACTCATTACCCTGGAATCAACCTAAAAGGCTTTAGCCCTGGTGGTCTTTGGTGTTTTATTAAGGTTTCACCCGGACTTTTATTAAATGGCCATTTAACAAAGGTGCTGAGTATTTAATTATGGTTGGTTGGGCAGGAGATTGGGGTTTGCATGGCTAAAGCGAGGGGTATGAGTGCAGAGAATGGTCGGGTTGACTCCGTGTAGTGCGTGAACTGTTGTTTGATTCTTGGGTGTGACTGCAGGTATGTTTTTGCGGCTCAGATGCTGGACTTTGATTGCCTGGATCACATATATACATATGGTTGTGGAGAACCCCACTGAGACTGTGAGAAGTGATCGTCACATACTTACCCCCTTACATATATATATGAGCGTGGACCTATGACGAGTGTTCGCGTGGCCCAAGGGGCCCCGTGCTAAAAGCCTACTCAGAAGTTAATACTGAGAGGCATAGGGAAGACCCTTCCTTCTTTTTGTTTGCTTCTTGGGGGTTTCTTGGTCAGACGTTGGTCCTGGGCCGGGGTTCAAGGTCCTTGTCCAGGACACCCCAAGCCCTAGACTCTACAGGGAAGGGATCTCCCCTCGCGCAGAGCCTATTTACTCTGCCCGTCGAGACACCTAACCCTGAGGGCAGAAGTGTCGCGAGGGCCGAACGACATGTCCTTCAGCCGTTCAATATCGTGAGGGGTGACCGCTCACGATATATTCCTTCAGCCATTCAATATCGCGAGGCCAGAGCCGTAATTACCACATATGACTAGCATTGTTGGTAGGCATAGGACTGGCCTGCGACCGCGCGATTTTATATCGAATCCCTGCGCGCAAGGCCGCGCCGCCCTTGTATCTAAAAGTTATGGAATTAAGGGACCCGCGCGTCCGCGCGAAAGTTTAAAATTGTTATAGGCCGTCGGCATCAACCGAAAGGGGTGGCCGGGGTTATGATTATCTGGAAAAGGGGAACCTTCGGCATATCTTTGTTTTTTAGGCTTTTATAGTTGGACGTTGTAGTTCGTGGCAGCCGTCAAAGTCAAACCCCTTGACTTTCGTCCAGGCCCGGAGTGGAACTCACCTCTAGGGCAGCAAGAAACGACTGCCACCACAGGTATGGACCTGTGTACCACCCACTCTGCACAGGGTGCAGAAGAGGGTGTGTGGTCTCCAACCGCGCATGGCGGTTGTCCAGTGTCGAGAGATTAACCCTCAAGGCGCGTGTCAGCCGACACTTGAGTGTCGAATGCGACCCTCGAGGCTAACAAGGACCGCATGAGTATGGGTACTACATAGTACGCCATCACTGCGACCGTTTGCGTACGCTTGCATTGTGGGTCGATATGAGCTAGCCCTGCGTCCGCGCGGTTTTATACTAAGTCTCGCGCACGACGCCTGTTCGATTTTCGCATCGGGAAGTTATGGGATGGTTACTGAAGGGGCTAGGAGCGTTGTCGCGTTGTTTGTGTTGTGTCGTTTTGTGCATATGCGTGGGTGTGTGTTGTTTTAGTGTTTGTTAAAGTGGTGTGCGCGTGGTGTGTGCGATGCGTCCTAGTCGACCGACGACGAGCCGCGCCCGAGACTTCAGCCCCCCGAGATGTCGGTTCGCGTGCGGATCCGATAGGCGTATTACCGCGCGTGCCCCCTATGCTACAGCGAACGAGAAACGCCCTCGGCTGGTCCACCTCTGCGATTGCAACTGGGTAGCTTTCGTACTGTGGGCTGGTAGGTCGACGGGGATACGCCCACCGAAGGGAGGTGACAACTCCCGTAAGGTGGAGGTAAGTTGTGCCTCGCGTAGGCCCTATCCTGTCGTAGGGGCTCGCGAGAGGTATGGCTGGCGCACTCGGCCGGAGCGGCTTGCGGAAGCTCCCTGTATATTTGCGGCGAAGGATTTAAACCAACTCCTGCGTGACGCGGCCGGGAGGGTCCCGCGCTGCCTCGTGCGATGCTGGACCAATGCGCACGACAGCATGGCTGTAGGGGAGAAGTAGGAGTTTGCAAGTTCTTGCAACCAGCCTCTTGGACGGTGACGTTCAGGCCGCGCTTCCTCCCGAGCAACCGGTACATCCTCCTCCCCCCTTTCGGAGGGAAACATTATTGCACGCCTTCTTATATCGTCCGCCACAGGCCTTAGACTCAGACTTCAGGACTGGTACCCTAGACCTAGGCCTCCTTGACTCCTAAAATTCACACGGCCTCCAAAGAAAGGTACTAGCTTTTTGTCTTCTTCGCCTCGGCCTTCCGCTCCTCTTAGGCAGCGCTGCGCTGCTCGACTACCTACCCTTCAGCAGGTTCCGGTTAAGCTACGTGGGCCTCTACACTACTGCTACCCGAGTGCCTACCCCTAGGCAGGTTCCGGTTCAGCTTCTCGTCCCTACACTAACTACCCTTGAGCTACGCGGGCCTACACTACTGCTACTTGACTGCTAACCTGCGCTACTCGAGTGTTTTTCCCCGCTGCAACCCTCAAATTCATCACCACAGGTAAGTACTCCCCTCCCCCCCCTTCCTCCCAAACAAATCACATACCCTGCCAGGTCGCACACCCACTCAGGCAGACACATCCGCTCACACGGGCACCAGCAAGCACGCACACACCCAGACTCGGAAACCTCACCAGACCCCGGCGGCAATCTCACCACGGCACACATTCCACCTGCAGAACTCAGAAATCATCATCGCAACTTCTCAGTGGCAATCTCTTCAAACGTCGAGACATTCGACGCTCAGCGTGTGTAGGACGTACCCGCGTTTCTCGCGCGCGTACGTACCTTGGGAATGTCACGTGCTCTCTGATGTATCTTTTTTTATGTTTCCAAAGTACGGATCGTTGCTTCGCGTTTTGGTAACGAAGTGTTTTTTTAACTTTTTTGAAGTTTTTTTGTGTGTTCATGATATGAACAATCTCACTGCGTGTTTACTTTGGTAACCATTGCACCGTATACACTTGTCTGTCTTCTCAGTCTGTCATTTTCCAGGTTAAGGTTTTTTTTTTTTTTTTTTTTTTTTGGGGGGGGGGGGGGGGGGGGGGGAATTTTCCAGGTAAGTTCAGTACAGCAGGGGCTCACGTCTGCTCATCGAGCCTTGTTATATTCACGGATAGTTGTTTGTGTAAAGCGGTCGAGTTCATTCATTAAGGTATATATGTGATAGTAGGGGACTAAGGCCGAAGGGCCATCTTCATTCTCTGTTTCGTTCCAATTCCAATTTTAACGGATGTCCTGAAGGATCGTTTTTTTTTTTTTTTTCTGGTTATCGTTTTGGTCAACTTTTTTTTTCGTTTTTGTTTTTTTTTTTCAATGGAAATTTTGCAACATTGAAATTGAAAAGCCTCTGGCTTTTGGTTCTGTTGTGTTCTGTCTGTGCCTTGTATGCTTAGAACGATTTGATGACCTGGATGAATCTGGCCGCATTTACGGCTGCGCCTGGATGAATTTGACCACATTTACGGCCGCGCCTGGATGAATCTGACCACATTTATGGCCGCGCCTGGATGAATTTGACCGCATCTTTTTTTACGGGCGCACCTGGATGAATCTGACCGCATTTTTTTGTATGGCTGCGCGTGGATGAATCTGACCACATTTATGGCCACGCCTGGATGAATCTCACCACATTTACGGCCGCGCCTGGATGCCACAGGCAGTTTGTTTTCTTTGTTAATGGTGGGTGCTTTGATGACCTGGATGAATCGGACTGCATTTACGGCCGCACCTGGATGAATCTGACCGCAATTGCGGCCATAAATAAGTGAAACACTGCCTGTGCCAGCCCAACCGTGCCTTGTAAGCTGTCAACTGCGTTCGCTTGCGTGTGCAGCTGAAGACGGCGCATGCTCTTCTTTTTCGGTACTTCGCATGAACTTCATCACGTAACTCGTTTACGAGCCAATTCACGCTTGTTTTTTTTTTTTCCATCTTGGTGTTGTCTATTCTGCCGCCCTTCTCATCGTCGTCCTTTGCCGTGCTCGCATGGAACGCTTGGCGTGTGGTGATTCTATCACCCCAGCGGAAGACAATGAAATTTGAAAGTCGCTTTCTTTGATTTGTTTTTGTCATTTTTTTTTTTTGTGTGTGTGTATGTGTGTGTGTGTGTGTGTGTGTGTGTGTGTGTGTGTGCAGCTGAAGGCAGACTTATTTCGGCTTACACGTGGCACAGCCTTGGCGTGCACGATCTATGCTCTTGTCACGGTATCGTTAAAGGTATGTTTGGGAGCTTGATGACTTTTATCTTTTCTTTTTTGTCTTCTTTTTTCATGGTTGGAAGATCTATTTTCGTGCCCGGCCGGGCACCCGGGCGTGCAAAATAAAAAAATAATTTTATTTTTATTTATTATTTATTATTTTTGGCTTTCTGTGCTCTCCCAGAGGACCCCAAATCCGGGCTTATTCTTTTTTTGCGAGTTGGCTTTCAGGGGGGAGGGGGGGAGGGGGGTATAAATTGATTTTAAAGGGGCTAAAGGGGGTTTAAAGGGGGGTGCCTTAGTGTGGTTCTATTGTTTTCTTTTTCTATCTCTGATTCCGTGTGGAATTCTAATGTGACCCTCAGCCAAAAGTCGTTTGTAGTGCAATTCTACACAACATATATTTTTTCCTGGATTTTTTTTTTTTTTTTTTTT